GGCTCAAGACCCCCTAGGCACCAGCCCCCGAGGCACTCACAGAGCTCCCTGCCATGGCTGGGACAGTGGCACAGGCAACGTGGTGGCAGTATGGCTGCTGGGGCCTTAAGTAAAAGCAGGGTGTGGCTGGCCCTGCTGACTCACCTCCCCCCGTCCACACCCACCGCCCACACCTGGCACAGACCCCACCCCGGGGGCCAGGCTGGCCCCGCAGCCTCTTTCTGGGGCCTCTGACCCCTGCCCCTCACTGAGGGCTCCCAGGCAGACTGCCTGATCCTTTGACCTAAAAATGATGGGGACAGTTAATGCTAATAATGACAGAGCCAGCCCTGATGGCCTAGTGGTTAAAGTTTGGCGTGCTATGCTTCAGCAGCCGGGGTTTGATTCCCAGGTGCGGAACCACACCACCCGTCCGTCAGTAGCCATGCTGTGGCAGTGGCTCACACAGAAAAACTAGAAGAACTTACAACTAAAATCTACAACTATGTCCTGGGGCTTTGGGGAGATAAAAAAAAAAGAGAGAGAGAGAGGAAGATTGGCAACAGATGTTAACTCAGAGCGAATCTTTCCCAGCAAAAATAATAATAATAATAATAATAATAACAACAACAGCAGCAGCAGAGGAGGCTCGCTGAGACCCCTGCACCAGCCCTCCTTCCCGCTGCCCGGCAGAGAGAATAGACTCTTGTGCCCATTTGATCCTGGAAAACGTGGGTCTGAGAGGCCACGCCGGGGGCTGCAGCTCCGGACCCCCCTCCCAGGTGTGGCCCTGCTGCCTCGAGCTGAGGAGGTGTCTCCCCGGAAATTCCGGTTTATGCTTCTGTCATAGAATAATAACCACGGCAACAGCAGTCATAACAGAGAAGGGGCCTCCAAGGGGCAGGATTTGTGCCTGTTGTCCCCGCCGTCTCCTGGCGCTGAGAGCAGCACCTGCACATAGTTAGCGCTCAGGAAATACAGGCAAGAGAAGGATAGGAAATAACAACAGCCGCCAGTTATGGAGCCTCTGGGCCTGCCTCGGATATGCCAGAGATCACGGATGCTCCATACGGGCCGTGAGGGAGGGGCATCTAGCACCCACATTTTACAGACGGGGAAACCAAGGCTCAGAAAGCGGAAGCAACTTTCCCAAAGCGCACAGCTGTGCAATAGCCTGGAGACTGTGACTCTCTCTCTCTTCGTCTTTGGAAGTTTCTCTCTGTTTATCCCCTCTCTGTGAATGCCCTAGTCTCTCCCTCTGTCTCCATCTCCCCCTGTCTCTGACTCTGTCCATCACGTGTTCCTGTTTCTCTCTTGTCCCACCTCCCAGAACTGCTCCTCTCCCACCTGGTGTTCAGGACACAGGGGTGGAGTAGAGGGTGTCCTAGGACCACCCCCCACCCAGACTGAGGAAGAGAACAAAGGGGGATCCTCCTCCCAGGCCCATTTCCAGCGCCCGGAGCCCAAGACTCCAGAAGACGAGTCCAGGCCAGGAAGGGTGGGGTCAGAGGGAGCATGCTGAAAGATGGTTCTGGAAGGCAGGGAGGTGGGAGGGTGGGGGGTCTGAACAGAATCCCCTCCTAGCAGCCTCACCGTCCTGCTCCCCACTTCCCCCTCCCGCCTCCCACACCCCTATTTCTGCCCACCCCACAGAGGGCAGAGGCCTGGGGCAGGGGCTGGTTGGGAATGGAAAGTTTGGACGCAAACACCAGACTCAGAACCTGATCTACCGCCCCACCACCCCCGGGGCCTCCCAGACTCTCTCCACGCCCCCCACACATGAGGCTCCCCTGGCAGTGATGCAGTTCAGGGAGCAAGGGCCTCGGAGAGGGAGGCCGGGCAGCTGCATTGAGGTGGGGGATGCAAACATGCCCATATTGCAGGGGAGAAAACTGAGGCTCAGGGAGGGGCAGCTTCTCAGCCAAAGCCACACAGCAAGGAAGGGGCCAGGGCCTGGGCTGGAGGTCGGGTCTGAGTGCCAAGGGCTCGTCGTCGTTGGGACTTGAAATAGAGAGGACAGTGAGTCTGAGCTTATAACACCGAGAGCCCCCGGGGGGTGGGGACTTTCCTAGGATGATTGCCTCCATTCCTCTCACAGAGAAGGCTGTCACTGTTTCAGGCCTCATTCTGTGGATCACTGCTGCATCCCCGTGACTCATCTTTCCCCGATTTCTTCATTGTGGCTGGATATTTCTTCACGTGCTGCCAACCTGCAAGTCCACACTCGACTTCGGTGTTTGGCCAAATGTTCGCATTCAGTCTATTATCAGTTTAATTATAGGTTCATTTCACCCACACATGCTCACCCTTGATGGATCCTTATTCATTTGTGGTGATTATCCTTTTATCAGTCCTGGAATAATTTTTTCAGGAGCATTTTTCTTACATTTCCTACTAATTAGTGAATGTATTTATTTCCCATTATTCTTCTTGTTTTCGAGCCACATTTCACATTCATAAATTGTGCAGATTTTAACAGAATACTTCGATGAGTTTTGACAAACACACACAGCTGTGCACTCACCACCCCCATCAAGTCTCCTCGAGCCCCGGACACAGCCAGCCCTCCTCCACCTGCCCCAGGAAACCAGTCATCCCCCAGCATTTCAGAGCCACAAAGTTCATTTGCCATGAAAATCAAGAAGAGGGATGGCCGGCAGGCTGAGTTGGCTGATTTTTGTCTTCCTTCAGGAAATAATTCAACTGAAAAGCAACTAATTGCGCCCACGGTGGTTGTAGGAACTGAAATCTCAGGCTCGGTCAATGCCAGCTTCTTGGTGACTTTGGGTTGTATTTTGTGCAGAGTGAAGATAATTCGGAGGCCCCTTGGTTTTGTAAACGAGCATTCCAAGGAGGAAAATGACACGTTTAAAAATCTGACTTTTTTTGTAGGCTGTGAAGTCCATTGGAACCTTACAGCTGTATGTATAAATATAGGAGATGGTGCCAATCCAGTCACTGCAAAGGGGCAGCATTTTCTGTCATATTTGGTTCCATTGATGAACTGGGATCATTAAACCCTCCTCCCAATATTTTAAGCTGCATGTGAGATGTCAGCGTGTATTAAGTTGTAAGTATTCCCATTGTCCAATAAACTCTGAGCCGTAAGTCATCCTTGTGCGTTTCCGTGCTTCAATTGTAAAGACACGGCCTGGCTCTCCCTCCTCCTCTTCCTCCCCTCCTTCCCCTCCTTTGCTGAGCCAGGGGGTCCTCCAGCCATCAGGCGGATGAGCAAGCGCCCCTTTTGGGGGTGGTGGGGCCACGGGGGTCTGAGTGGGTGGAGGGGCGGCCGCTCTGCCCGGGGGGGTGGGGGTGGCTGAGTCCAGCAGTGGGGCAGAGTGAGCAGGTGAGGAGGGCGCTCAGCAGAGGCTGGTCCTCAGGGCCCCGGGGTCAGGAGGGTGCAGGACACGGGGGAGCCCCGCCCCCAGCAGGAGGAGGTGTCTGTGCAGGGGTGGGGCCCCCTGAGAGGTGCTGAGCCCGCGGGGCGGGGAGGACATCCAGGGGCGGATGTGGGCGTGGGTGTCAGCGATGGAGGACGAAGCCCCTCTCACTCTCATAGGAGGAAGGTGTAGATACGGAAAAGGGGAAAAGGACCGTGGACCCTGGGAGGTTGGGTTGGAATTGGAGACATCCGCGTGAACTAATGGTTTCCTGAGCTGGTTTTTTTTGTTGTTTTCTGTGGAGGGGAGCAGATGTCTCTTTTTTAAAAAAAGGTTTGTGTAGTTCAGTGGCATTAAGTACTTTCTCATATTGTGCAACCATGGCCGCCATTCCTCTCCAGAACTTTCCACCTTCTCCAACTGAAACTCTGTCCCTGTTAAATGCTAGCTCCTCATTCCCCCATCCCCAGGCCCTGGCCACCACCATTCCACTTTCTGTCCCTATCATGATAGTTTGCCTACTCCAGGTCCCGTAAAAATGGAATCATACAGTATTTGCCCTTCTATGACGGAGGAGCTTTATACTCATATGAAAGAGAAATCAATATAGATGGAAATCTGTGTATGCATGTTGGAGGGGGCATATACGCCACCCCAAATATGCCCCTTTGGCATAAGGATTATTTTGAGCTAAAGGCACTTGCAAAACAGCAGATGGGTGAAGGACGTTCTCATGTCCCTTTTCTTCCTGAAAACAGGAGATAAAATCTCCGTGTGAAAGATGGGCTCCTTAGGGCTGGCTAGGTGGCGCAGCAGTTGAGTTCCTGCACTCTGCTTCAATGGCCCAGGGTTCACCAGTTCAGATCCTGGGCGCGGACCTACTCGCCACTCATTAAGCCATGCTGAGGTGGTGTCCCACATAGAAGAACTACAATGACCCACAACTACGATGCACGACTATGTGCTGGGGTTGGGGAGAAAAAAAAAAAGGAAAAAAAGAGGAAGATTGGCAACAGATGTTAGCTCAGTGCCAATCTTCCTGAAAAAAAAAAAAAATCCCCTCCCTGTACCAGAGGGAGAGTAACCTTCTTATCATCAGGTGGAGACCCAGAGAATTCTATACCCACAGGCCTTGTTAAAATAATTCTTATCTTCCTTTGCCTCCCCACGTATTAGTTTAGTTACTTTGCCACAATTGCTTCTATCGTTCAACTGAATAAAAGCATGTCGAGTTGGCCATTTGAGTCTTCATTTCCTTATGGTGGTTCCAGTGCCACGTAAAACTGATATAAATGTGTGCGCATTTCTCCCATTAATCTGTCGGTTTGATACATCAGTTTAACTCTCAGGCTCAGCTGAAAAATCCTGGGAGGGTTGAGGTAGCATTTTGCCTGCCCTACAATGTATAGACACGTCTGTACTCATGTGTCCCCCACCTCCATCCCTGAGAGGGCCAGGGAGCAAAGACACCTGAATAGCAATGGGCACCCCTGTGCCCAGATCTTGGTTCCTAGGACTGTACCTCTCTGGGCTAAAGAACTCTTGTGGAAATGGCTGTTTCCAAGGCTCGGACTGGGAAAGTAGAAGACGGGGCAGAACTTACTGTGTCAGAGAAGAAGGGAGTGTTCACAAGGTGCTGGGTGTGGTGGACGGCTGCTAGGTGAGCTCGCCTGAAGGACTCCCACAGGGAATCTGGGAAGTGGGGTCCCCCATGACAGCGCCAGGAATGAAATAGGAAGGTATGAGTCTTACTCTGTTAGGGCTGCTGTAACAAAGATGCCATC